TATATATATATATATATATATATATATATATATATACTGAATTAAAGTATCCTCTTTAACACACACACACACACACATATACATATACATATACATATATATATTTGATTTAAAGCAAATTACTTCAGATAATTAAAGAAAGAAAAATGATTGAATAGCTTTCATTTCCTTTTATGTTTCATGAATGATATATTTTATCCTACATTTAAACTAGCATCTACCACTTTTTACAGAAGCAGAATAAAGAATAATCACTCCATACTTTTTGGAAATATCAAAATAACATATTTCTGCTTTAATTTGCTTCTTCAGTCTTAATTCTCACAACTCTATGGACATGTTTAATGAAAACTGATACAGCAAGTATCATGGCGTGATACAGCAAGTATCATTTTCGCCTTCCCACACTCCACCCACACTTACTGGAAACAATTTCGTGTTCCTTAGGTGGTCCAAACAAAGTAAGTGTTGTGCTTTATTTGAATGATCTGAACATGTACGTACTATAGAATACATTCCCTTATTCAGGCTGTAAATAATAAAAGTACAGATTGAAATTTGGAAATTGAGGTTAAAATGCTTTATAGTGAAAGTGTCTACCTTGCGTCTGTTCTTTTAAATTTTAAAACTAACTGACATTAGACTGCATTAGAGAAGAATGGGAAAAAAACATTGTTTTCTTGGCTAACAGCAGCGGTTAAAGCTAAAGTAGGTTTAGTTTTTGTCCATTATACAATTTTGAGGGTAGGAAGAGACACAGAGAGGTATGAACATTACTTCCAGCTACATACTGATAGGATTTATCAAAGGGCAGTGTTAAGAGTGAAGTTTGGAGAACTTAGCCAATACCTTGCTATAAATGTGTGATATGACTGAGCTCATATTGGTTCCTGATAAGCTTCTGGATGCAATTTAGTGTTCTTGTTTTTATGCAGAAAACCATTTGTGGCTTGGTGCTAATTGACTCCAGGACTGTAAATATCAGCTAAAATTGACCTTACTGATAAAGTGATCTTAAGAAAAACAAATGCTTGTTCCCCACTTCTGTGAAGTTAATTGGGGGGGGAGGTGGAGCTAGAAGGCAATTGTAGTTTTCACGGGCAGTGCCTATTCTTCAGAATAGCCTTCTGGCAGGAATCAGATGTTTTTGACCATATAGGAAATGTTATTGATTGTCGTGATTGGTGAGGGGTCTTTTTATTTGTTTATATTTTAATTATATGTATTGGGAATATTTGCACTGAAATATAAATTAATTGATTATCAAACACTTAACATCATTAAGGATATTCAGGACATGTTAGAATATGTCAAGCTTATTCTAATGGTAAATAGCTAAAGTTGCATCTTGCCCACTAGTCCACTAAGAATCTGCCCTAACTAATCTGTTTTACTAATCTGTAAAAAGAAACAGAAGGAAATTTGCAAGATTGTTAATGTAGCCTTGTAATAAAGTAGAATTAGCTCTTTGTATAGTGTTTCCCCATATGGTCTACCTGCGAGACCAACATTGTCTGAATAAATTCATACTAATCTCTTTTGATGTTATGTGCTACAATTTCGATTTGATCATTTCAGATTATTTAAGGATTTCAAGTTTAATCGGTTTTGACACATACTGATTTAATCATTAGTAAAACCTTCATTATGGTTGCTGATCAAAATCCTGTGACTTAACAAATAATTTAAAAAATTAGACAGTTTCTTTTATAAATAAAATCAAGACAACTAATTATAACTGGGTCATTGAGGCAGTCATGTGTACCTAGTTTAACAGACTTTATAATATAATATAGCAATATTGAGGAAACAGATATTCACTGAACTGATAAAAAATAACTAAGCATAAATGAGAACTGAATTATTCACCAGATAAGGAGTTAGAAAATTGGGCCCTTACATTGTGATATATAGTGCAATATAATAAGAATGAGATTGTTTGGATTCTTCTCCACAAGAATTTCTGATAAAAATTCTTTTTATCTCTGAAATAATTTTTGTTTTTTTTATTTGCTTTCAAGAATAACTGCTGAGAAGAAGCTGAAACGTCATAATGCTAGTATTTTTTAGAAGTTTAGAGACAATTATTTGGTTTAATTTTAAATATCTTGGCAGCCTAAAAAAAACACGCCTCAAGATCTGTTCCTGGGTAGTACTTCAAAATCTCTAGCATGTTGCTTGAATGCAGAAGTGTTTATCATAGGCCTTAATTAGATGGATGAGAATACATTCTTGCAATTTTTACATGTATGTTTTTTCCATATTGATTTAGAATTGTCTGCCATGTGCAGTTTAGATATTCTAAAAAAAACATAATCCGCAGAGAACAAAAACAATAACTAGCAAGGAATAATAAAAATCCATGTACCTGTTTTTATTGTAATTAAACTTCCCCTCCCTTCTAAATACTTAATAACACATTCCAGAGTGGCAAGAAAAGCTATATGGCCCCACCTAATTACCAAACAAAAGTTGCATGCATTCTCAGTGAATTAAAGTTTTAATGCTGCGTGGACATGTTGTGCATCTCTGATGAAATGGAAAGGTTATACAGATATCATTGATTTTTCTGCATTTGGGATTACGTAGTTTTGGTATGCATTGAATTTGGTACAGCTGTGAAAAACCAATTCCAAATATTTAAATATTTTGGCTTGCTTTGGTGATTTAGCCTTCTTGTTTGCTTTGCAAAAATTAAGCTTCTTGTTTTAGTATAGTTAATTTCAAGCGCAGATCAATAAGTGGCTAGGGCACTTAGAGCTCATTTTTTCCCAAATGACGTCTGCAAATAGAAGCACTACATCATAAAATAAAATTGTCTACAATAAGATTGCAATATATTTGTTGGCTAGTTTTGGAGGATGATGCGCTTTAAATTATTTCGGCTACAACAGGGTTGATGTTTAAATTGAAGAGGAAAGGAGCCAAAATATATCCTTGTCTACAGTGCTAAATTTTAATAACACAGTCTTTGCATTATGCTCCAATGGATCTCGTTATATGATTAACAACAAACATTAGTTGAAATATGTAAACTTAGATGAATCTAATAGGAATTGTATCTTTTCTATATGGACATTTCATTTCAACATTATAAAAAAAAGTACTTCAAATCTTCTAGGAACCCTATATGCTTGTTAAATAGCTGTTCTTTGTTTGCCAGCCTGAAAGAAGATATACAAGTAGTCCTTGACTTACAACCATTTGTTTAGTGACTATTTAAAGTTACAGTGGCACTGAAAAAGTGACATTTTACACTTACAGGTGAAACTCAAAAAATTAGAATATCGTGCAAAAGTTCATTTATTTCAGTAATGCAATTTAAAAGGTGAAACTAATATATGAGATAAGACTCATTACATGCAAAACAAGATAGTTCAAGCCGTGATTTGTCATAATTGTGATAATTATGGCGTACAGCTCATGAAAAACCCAAATCCACCATCTCAGAAAATTAGAATATTACATGCAATCAATAAAACAAGGATTGTACATAGAACAATATTGGACCTCTGAAAAGTATAAGCATGCATATGTACTCAGTACTTGGTTTGGGCCCCTTTTGCAGCAATTACTGCCTCAATGCGGCGTGGCATGGAAGCGATCAGCCTGTGGCACTGCTGAGGTGTTATGGAAGACCAGGATGCTTCAATAACGGCCTTCAGCTCTTCTGCATTGTTCGGTCTCATGTCTCTCATCTTTCTCTTGGCAATGCCCCATAGATTCTCTATGGGGTTCAGGTCAGGTGAGTTTGCAGGCCAATCAAGCACAGTAATCCCACAGTCATTGAACCAGGTTTTGGTGCTTTTGGCAGTGTGGACAGCTGGGAAATGAAGTCAGCATCCCCATAAAGCTCGTCTGTGGAAGGAAGCATGAAGTGCTCCAAAATCTCCTGGTAGACGGCTGCGTTGACCCTGGTCTTAATGAAGCACAGTGGTCCAAAGTTTTGTTGCTCAGTGGTCCAAAGTCCTCTTTTCTGATGAAAGCAACTTTTGCATCTCATTTGGAAACCAAGGACCCAGAGTATGGGGGAAGAATGGAGAGGCCAATCAAGCACAGTAATCCCACGGTCATTGAACCAGGTTTTAGTGCTTTTGGCAAAAGTTGCTCTCATCAGAAAAGAGGACTTTGGACCATTGAGCAACAGGACTTTGGACCACTGTGCTTAAGACCAGGGTCAACGGATCTGTTTACCAGGAGATTTTGGAGCACTTCATACTTCCTTCCGCAGATGAGCTTTATGGGGATGCTGACTTCATTTTCCAGCTACCCACAGTTTTCATGAGCTGTACGCCATAATCATCACAATTATGACAAATCACGGCTTGAACTATCTTGCTTTGCATGTAATGAGTCTTATCTCATATATTAGTTTCACCTTTTAAGTTGCATTACTGAAATAAATGAACTTTTGCACCATATTCTAATTTTTCGAGTTTCACCTGTATAACTATTGCAGCATCCCTATGGGTCATCATATGATCAGAATTTGGATACTTGCTAACTGGCCTGTAGTTAGCCTGTAGTTATCATTGTTGCAATGTCCCAGGGTCACGTGATCACCTTTTTCTCATATATAAAGTTCCAATCTGGATGTCAGATGCACTTAACAATCGTGTTACTAACTTGACTGAAGTGATTCACTGAGCTTCAGGCAAGAAAGGTCGTGAAATGGGGAAAATTCATTTAACTGTTTTGCTTAGCAACGGAAATTTTGGGCTCAATTTTGTTGTAAATCGAGGACTACCTGTAGTTACCTGTGATCCTGTAAGAAGTCACAGCATACTAGTGAGCAAACTTCTTAAAGCAGATGCAACTTTGCTGAAATTAGTGCAAAATTCATTCTGCTACAGCCATCTTGATAGGTTCTTGCTTTTTAAGAGACCCTTGGGTGCCTTTATCCGTTTAGAGAATACCAAATAAGATATAACTCTTGCTTAATTTCCTAAATGTCATAGTTAAATAGCAGTTCAATGACATCTTACACCAGACTTCCTAAAAATCAAGCAATGTTTCTCCATTTCCAGTGATGGCGCAGTGGTTAGGATGCAGTATTGCAGGCTAACTCACTGTTCAGTCCAGGATTTGGATTCTCATTGGCTCAAGATTGACTTTCCATCCTTCTGAGATTGGTAAAATGAAGACCCAGATTTTTTGGGGGGAATATGCTGACTCTAAAATGTTTATAGAGTGCTATAAAGTACTGTGAAGCGGTATATAAAATCTAAGTGCTTTTGTTATTGCTATTATCTACTAGTGAAACTTACAAATCTGGAAATAACACTGGAAACTGGAATAATTTTAAGTTTTTAGAAAAATAGTGGAAAAACTCAGTTGCTTGAAATAACAGGCTTATGCAAATACTTGAAATATTTAAAAAAACAGTAAAGTTTGGTAATTTGAAACAGATTGTTGATCTGATTGCAAATCCTCAGATTACATAATCTGAGCCAAAAAATTCTTGCCTCAGATTATGCAAGAAATTCTCTCCAATCCATGTTAAAACAAATTCATGATTTTAATTCACAAATCTGGGGCACTTTAATTTTTCATTTAGCCCCATTTTAAGTGATTGTAGTCAGTAGAAAAAATTATGTTATAAAATATTTAAGGATTATAGCCCTATAGTTTCATTACATTTAAGTAGTTGAATGGAAAAGTACACCCCCTGAAGTGAAGAAAGTTACATGGAAGTAAAATTCATGAAGAACCTATTGCATTTCTGAAAAAAAGGATAGCTGCCTTGGAAGCTTTATTGAATAAACAATAGAATTATTTTAAAAGAACACTTCTTAACCACATAAATAAACAACTTCTGCATAATAGGCAAGGATATTAATACATCATTTTAATATTAGAAACATGAATATCTCTACACTAGAGATAATAGTTAATAGAAGACAGTTTATATGAAGTAGACCTCCTTGTGTGAAATAATCACCTTTTTAGAACGGTAGTTAACTTAGGAAATTAGACAATATATTGTTGGTACTCTAAGTATTTATCAATATCATGCACTTTCATATTACTTATTTCTCAAGAAACTGGGAGAAGGGTTATTAGTTCATACTCGGCCACTGCATTTGTCACATTACTGCATGGGTATTTTTGTAAATTAGACCCTAAGGGTTCTGCCTGGACTTGATCCCAAAGGAAGTGGTAGTAGCAAAGTTTGAATAATTTCTAGAAAAGCAGTTGGATAGAGGCAAAATAGAGCTGGATATCATCTAGCTATCCCATGGGGAGTGATGAAATTGCCTACAGATAAGATACACACACACACACACACACACACACATATGTATAGAGTATACATTATACATATATACATACATACATACATACATACATACATACATACATACATACATACATACAGGAAAGGACAAGTGATTAAATATAGGAGAGCAAAGAGTGATTTAAAAAAAAAACTTGGAAAAGAGTTAGTTAAGCCAGATTCACATAAGAAATCAAGGAACTAAAGTAGGAAAAATATTAGCCATAAAAGGGAGTAGTAAATGAATGAGTTATTCATAAAACTACTTTGTTCACCTGTGGAAAGATCAAGCCAACAAAATAAAATGGTGGGAAATAGGCAAAATTGGGAACTGGCAGAATTTGGAAAGAAGTCAGACACCACTATAAACAGGCTGTTGAATGGGAGAATAAGGGACACAAAAGAGAGTAGCATAGTTAGGGGGACTAATTTATGAATCAGTAAAGGCAAATAACAAAGAAAAAGCAGCAAATCTGAAGGGAAGTAGTATGCATAGAAAAAAATAGAGTTAAATTTCAATCTCATTTCTAGATTCTTCAGAATCATTGACAATTAATAGACGTTTTCTCATGGAAAAAGCCATGTGGAAAATCACATCGAAGCAGTTTTGTTATACTAAAGTATATAGTTAATATTATATAAATTAATCTTTGGACTAAAAGTCTAGTGGACTTGCTTTCCACTTTCTCTCCTTTTTAAAAAAAACATTTCTGTGTTTGTCATCTGCCTTGTTACTACGCAGATGGAAGAGATATTTGTAACTTTGAAAATATGAGGATATAATTGGGAAAGAAACTTGCATACTCAGTGTGATGTGTTTTATAAGAGTAAAATCTAGTAGCATTTGGTTTGTTACATATTGATTTCTTAATAATAAATGATTTACAAGACACAACTAATTATATTACAATAATAATATTTACACAAAATAAAAAGCACTCAGCATGTTTATGTTTATGTTTATTTCCTTATTTAGACATTGCAAATGGCTCTAGTACAGGAGGATACCGTCCCCCTCCCAGAACAAAAGAAATAATCATTAATGGTCAGGCAGTGAAATTAAAATACTGTTTCACCTGCAAGATTTTCCGTCCACCCCGTGCCTCACATTGCAGCCTTTGTGATAACTGTGTAGGTGAGTAAAAAAAACAACATACTAGTCTAGATAGCTGTGCCAGAGAATTGATGTATTACTGGTCATTATATTCATTTGGTATTTCTCATTATTAAAGTACACCTTTGCTGTTTTGTCAAACTGGTACAACCGAAGGTAAACTGTCAGTGTTTACACTTCTTTGTTTATACATCCCAGATTCGAATGTGTAATTTCAGGTTTGCTATTTAATCACCTCAAGCTTCCTTTCAGCTTGAAATGCAACTGCTCATTTGGGTTGATTTTAGAGTAAAATATCATATCCAAACTTAAAGTTTGAGAAAGCTGAGACATACATTTTGCTAAAGATAATACACATCCCAATAAAACAACATTTGCTGCAATTCACAAGGTAACAGAAAAGGCATAATACTTAATTTTATAACCTAAAACGTGATTTATTTTTACATTATAATGGTTTTCGGCTTCTATGATTAAAAAGGGTATACACACTTTAAAAATGCAAAAAAGATCCCTTGGTTGACTCCAGATTACTTCATGGACATACCCATGTCATTTTCCTCGGCAACTAAACTGAAGTAGTTTATCAGTGACTTCTTCTGGGACTGTTTGTTTAAGCTCCCCAATCTACCTGACAACCCTGAGTACTTGTCCATTCAGATATTAAACAGACCTGATTCTTGTTTAGCTTCCAGACCTGAGGAAATTTGGCCAGGTGATGCTACCGCCTATTGGTATGGCTTCAGGCCCCTGAATGAACTTTAATTTGTGAACAATTGTATGTAGAAGATTATTTGGGTGGCAAAAATCTAAATCCAGAATAATCAAGGTGAGAATCAATTGCTATTGTGTTTAACGCAAGGCGGGCAGCCACATGCTTTCCCTTAGTGTTAGCCAGAAAGGTTAGTGGTGAGGGATAATTGAAACTTGGAAGGCACCAAATTGTCTGTTTCTGACCAAGTTACTGAAGTAGGAGTTTAATTTGTACTTCTAGATTTTCTGTATTTTTGTAATAAAGTGAAAAAAATTAAACACAACTGACATTATACAGATTCACATGTAGAGAAACATGTAAATGAAGAATGACCAATGGATGCAGTCATACATTAAAATCATAGGGCTTCAGAGAAAACCACCAGAAGGCATACTGCCAATGGACACAAATGTGAATGATCCTCATTGAATTAGCCAGGTTTTTGGTATTCCACACAAAAGCGCTTGTGTTTTCTATGGCAGAATATTTTCTAACAATGGTTTTAAAGAATGCTGTTAGAATATTTGTAAACAAAAGCTAGTTCTGTTCATCTAATCAGCTAGGACATAGCCTAACTTTACCTTGTAGGCAGAGTTTTCAGAAAAGGGCTGTTTGTTTGTTCATTTATTAAATTTACAGTATATAGCCACCCATGAGATTCCCAGGCCTAATAAAAGGCCTTTCGATTTTGGGTTGGGGGCCAATCTCACCTTGGCAGGTGGGATAGTAATGATGTTCCAAAGGGCAAATGCAAAAACTGTTCTCCTGGACCTGCCAAAAGAACATCTTTACCCTTTCCAATCTTTAACTGCCTACCTAAGAATATTCTGCTTTAACTAATATGATAGCTGCAGAACCAGCTCAAGATGTTTCATTATTAAAAATGTCTATATCGCAAGAGCTAAGAAACATGTTCCTAAGTTCCTTAGCAATAGTATAGATATCTGGAGCAAAGCTATTGAATTTAAGTCGTTGGCTAACATCAATAAAAATTATCATTTTAATAAACTTAAATATTTATAAAAAAATTACCTCAAATATTCAATGTATGCTTTAGGACAGGACTCTCAAAGTCAAGACCTGTGGGCCGGATTGGCCCAAGGGGTGCTTAAATCTGGTCTGTGGAGCTGGCCTGGAAATGTCAAAGGACTGGCCCACGGGGTCTCTGCCAGCCTCTCTGGCCTCCAGCAGCACTCTGCTGGCCAAAAGCGGGCTGTGTGGAGATTCTGTGCAGCTTCCGCGTGGCCCATTTTTGGTTGGCAGAGTATTGCAGGAGGACTGGATTGTACTGTATTACAATTATGTGGCATCAAGTAAGTGCCTGATCTGGATAGAAAACAAGCAATATCCTATTTTAATGCTACAGTCTAATGCCAGATTTTATATACTGTAGGTCCATTTAATCTACAATCTATAATGAACAGCCATTTTTATTTACTATCCTGGAAATTTACCTTTGCTGTTAGATCTTGCATTATCATGTTATTTATGTTATTGTATTTTTATTATTAGTTGAATAATTAAAACAATAGTATAAATAGCTTTTCTGCCTGGTTAAACAATGGGGTATAAATTTAGAAATAAAAGTTTTAGTGGAGTATGAAAAATAAGTAATAAATGTTTGCCAATAATATCTGGTAGAAGAGATAGGAAAATGGTTATAGTAAAGAACTGTGGAAAGAAAGAAGGGGAAAAATGCATCTTGAACCTATGTCAAATGCTCCCCCCCTGCCCTCCAAAGTCAAACACGACCCTGATGCTGCCCTCAGTGAAATCAAGTTTGAAACCCCAGCTTTAGGAGGAAAATAATGAAACAAATAACAAAAATAGTTATTGAAAACAGATGATTTACTCAACCAAACAAATGCTTGCTAAAATCTGAAAGTAAAGTAAAAATTCTGCTACCCATCAAAGATAGTCAGAAACTTGTTTCAGAACTTGTACAGTAAATACATTTACGGTAATTCAGCTAAGCAAAAGGGAATTTGTAAATTCAAAAAATGAACATTGTTGGTATATATACACCCAGGGACTAAGTAAGAGAAAGTCCTGCTTAATATTACATAAAACAAAAAGTGAAGTATATAGGTTGGTTTAAGAAGGCTTGCACAGCAGTGTTGTTTAAGACTACTTTATAGAACTATAAGTATGACATAAACATAATATGTAACAAATCACATGTTAATGAGAACTTAAGCCATTTTTTCCTAATTGAATTCTTCATTTTCTTCTACATTCTTTTTCAGAACGGTTTGATCATCATTGTCCCTGGGTAGGCAACTGTGTGGGGAAAAGAAACTACAGATTTTTTTATATGTTTATTTTATCTCTGTCATTTCTGACAGTTTTTATATTTGCATTTGTTATTACCCACATCATCCATCGTAAGTATGCTAGTAAAATCAGATTATGTATGTAGTCATTTCCTTGAGAATTAGATTTTAACTTTAATCTTGATCATTTAGGATTTATCTGCATCCTTATAGAACCTTCCCCTGCCTGATATTCCTTGTTTGATCCAACATAATTTTCAGCTGTAAAGGTTTTTTGTTAATTCAGATCCTTTAAAAAACTGTTTTTTTTTAAATTTCTTAATCATCTGTAACCTTTTTAAGTTAGGTTATATAAAAGAATAATTGGCTATTGTCAGTTTTTCTGCAGGCTCTTTTCACTGAGTGGTAGACTTTCAGTAGAAATCAAGGTCCCTGATACCTCAGTGGAGCGATCTTAAAGATCTTAACAAATTCTAGTTCAGGTACATAGTAAGCAATCAGTATGGTGTAGTGCTTTGAGTTCTGGACTGAAAGGGAAGAGATTTTCAGGTTACCACTTGATGATGGAAAGTTATTGGGTGATCTTTTACTAAATATTATGATTCAGCCCAATCTATGTCAGAAATCTGTTGTGAAGACAAAATAGGGGCTGTAAAGTTAAATAATACATACACATAGTACTAAACTATATAAAAATCATATGATGTACTTGTCTTAGTAAAAGTGGAATCAGCTAGAGTTTTGTTTCATGTTAGCCCAATGGCAGAGGTGGTTTGTTTGTTTAGTAGCATGAACTGATTTGATATTCTATTTTGGGAGATGCCACCATGGATGGAAAAAGAGATAAAAGGCTCTCATTTCCCAAAATGCTGTTGTGGCCAGTTCTTCAAAGGGCCCTTCACTCAAGAATTCTATAAAATGGCCAAGAGTCTTTTTTTATTTCAGCTAAATATGAATCTAATAAATAAGTAATGCACTTGGGGCTTTGAATTCATTAAACTGAAATTTACTGCTGGCTGCTCATATCTCCTAGTAGTATCTCCAAAGGAATTTGTAAAAAGCTTGGAATTTGGGTCAAACTGTAGTTAAAGATCTCTTGATCCAGCCAAAACATTTTTTGTGTGCGTGAGAGAGAAAATAAATCGCTAAGTACTTTTTTATGGAGAAAACTGAGCTTGAAATATTTTGTTTCCATATTAGGATAGTAAAAAGAAGGAAATCATGAATCTTATTTATATGTAACTAATGCCTGCAGACATTAATCTGGTGTTACTGAGAAACTATCTGCATATGCAATTCTGATTTTACTTTTATTTTTTATTGAAAAGTGTCATAAACATTTTAAGGCTGGTTTAAACAAATCATATGTTGTGAATATTTCAAAATACAATTGTTAGTTGAGTTTTCAGATACTTTCACCTATGCTTTTAGTTTCATTGTATTTGACATGTATTATCTTTACAGGAGCTCAGAAAACAGGATTTTTAACTGCACTTAAAGACAGTCCTGCAAGATATCCTTTCACTGAAATACATTTACCTCTGTTGGTATAATTTTAAAAGAATTTAATATTTAGATATACTTCAGTTTACTTTCTGCTGGCAGATAATGGATTTTTTAAATTAATGGATATGAAAATCATTAAATTAAAATTAAGTAACTAACTTCTGTGAGTTTATATGTAAAAATATATGACAGATTTACATGTAACATATAGCTGATTTTCTCATCAAGTGGCTCTTTAAAGCAATGACATCTCAATTCCCCACATCCCCAACCAGCATGACCAATCTGCTGGCTCAGAATTATGGGAGCAGAAGTCCAAAAACACCAGGAAGGCCCCAGATTGGGAAAAGCTAGCCTATAAATGTTAATGGCCAGAATATTTTTGTAGTACAGTTGCAAACATTTTTTATGCGATCGTAAATGAGTTTGCAGTTTCAGACTTATCCCTTAGCTTATGTATGAATATGATAAATCACACACACAGAAATGGTTCTTTGTAAAATAAAAAAAATCTTTGCATTAGATGCTAAAGTATCCAAAAAAAAAAACAACCTGCTATAACTCTAACAGGCATTCTCAGAGAATGAGCAGAAAACCAGGAATGTGCGCATGCAATACTTTTTTATTGGTTTACATAACACTTGTTATTTTCCCTCATGGGGTTGATTCTGCTATTGTGTTGAAGTGATGAATAAAAAATGAGTATCATTCATGGATTTTCAATATGACCCCTTTAACCCTGTAAATTCAGAAGAAGGCCCACAGGTATACACAATGCTTTCTTATAATGTGTACATTTTAAGCAATGCATACATCTAGAAATACACTATATTGCCAAAAGTATTCGCTCACCCATCCACATAATCAGAATCAGTTGTGAGCAAATACTTTTGGCAATATAGTGTGTTAGGATAACATATCCACACAATAGCGAGCATTGAGTGCTACAAATTTTAATGGAAATTATGAGGTAGCAAATAAAAGGTTTTCAGCCATAAAATGGCTAAACATTATTTAATTAAGCACAAATACTGAAGTATAAACACCTAATAGCTTCTGTTCAAACACTATTTGTAAATAATGTAGTAGCCTCCAATTAAAAGAATTTCAGTTCTTTCTAATTATGCTTTTCCATTGCCTGAAAATGAAAGAGTTTTTTATATGTTCTGAACAAAAGGATTATTGATGCCAAATTTCCTTATTACTTTACAGGAACAATTAGTGATTCATTCATTATCATTTGCATTTAGGGGCTAGCAATCTAAGGTGGTGGGAGAGAAAGGAAGAGGGAAGGAGGAAAAAGAAATCCTTCCAATGTGTTGCATTATGTAATTTCATAATTTCCTTATCACCATTCTCTCTCTCTCTCTCTCTCTCTCTCTCTCTCTCTCTCTCTCTTTCTCTCTCTCTCTCTCTCTCTTCCTCCCTCCCTCCCTCCCCCCTCCCTCTCTCTCTTCTCTCTTTTTATTTGTTTTTAAGTATATATAATTCCATCACTAATAATAGGGATTTTTTTTCACCATATAGTTTCATGATGGCGAACCTATGGAAGTGGCACACAGAACTATCTCTCCAGGCAGGCAAGCCATTGCCCTTTCCTCTTCTGGGTTCCGGCACGTTGGCCAGCTGGTCTTCACATACATGGAAGCACCGAAAACCAGAAGAGCAGCCACTCAGGCTGCTCTTCTGGTTTACGGCATGCACGCTCTCCCATTTCGGCACTTAGTGCCGAAAAGGATCACCAACACTGATAAAATTTATCCATTCCAAATGTAAATGATATACAATACAATACAATAGCAGAGTTGGAAGGGACCTTGGAGGTCTTCTAGTCCAACCCCCTGCTTAGGCAGGA